TCCTCCTGTTGATAAGACAATTTGCAGGCTTATTAAAATATAAACTTACTTTTGGAGACATGGATTCATATTGACTTCTATTGGCAAATTAGAGATCAAGAAAAGTCCTAAAGAATAACATATATTCCATTTTGAATTAGAAAAATACAAAATTACACGTAATTTGAAAAACTTAACTTTGGTTTTGGTGTCAATTAGAGTAATCTTATGTGCTTATTATTCAAATAAGCTGTGGTCTCTGTAAACATTTAGGTTCCTAGCTCCCTAGAATCAGAAGCAGTGCCCAGAAATATGTATTTCTTAACAACCTCTTGCATGAATGTTATGATCTGAAGACTCTGGTAATCACTGAATTAGAGAGTGCAACAGGGTGTTGTAGATTGTTCTTGATAAATATATATCATTAATCTTTAAGGTCCAACAAAATCTTATTAGAAATGCTGTTTTGGATTTTCTTTTATAAAGAATCTGGAATAAAGTTATATTTTTTGACTTATACTTTAAAAAATCCTGGATAATTTCTTAGGGAGAAAAACAAAATAAAATATTAGCTGCTTCCCCCACGCCCCCAAGGAAGAAAACTCCCATGGTGTGAGTTCAGGTTTATTTAAACATCACGATGCTATGACTAAAATACTGGATGAAAAATCCTTCTTAATTTCTAATTTTTCCATATAAATACTTTTCCTGAAATTTATTATTGTTTTTACTTTGGCTTATAACCTTAAAAATTAAATACTAAAAGTGTCTGTCAAATTTTGCAATTTTCCTGCTAACTGCAGTAAAAAACAGTTCCAAAAGTATAAAACAAATGTCACTTTCATCAGAGCAAAGGAACGTTTGACTTTCAAACAAAAAAATGTATCTGAATTCACATTGTAGAGAAATATAAAAGTTGGTTAAATGTTAGAAAATGCATATTGTGGACTAGAAAGATAAAAAGTTAGAATGTAGGGACTGTGATAAGATATTATCATCACATGTTCAATTATGAAAAATTTAATGTGGAATTTTGTCAAAAAATAAAATACTAAAGTAAATTGTAATTCTTATGAAAGTTCTGGAAGGGTAGTAAAAAACTCACACCTCAATGAAGAGAACAAAGCAAATATTTTTTTTCAATTGACTTTTGGTGTTCAAGAACACACACACACACACACATATACATAGATACATTCATTCCTATATTTAGGCACTCCTATGTACATAAAAATTTTTTTTCCATCGCATTGCTTTCCTGAGGCTTAGTCAGTTATGACTAATGAAAAACAGAAAAGTCATTCATATATTTTTAGAATTTCACTTACACCACTTACAGTAAACCTAAAATGTTGCTATTATTTTGATATTGTTTTGATGAAGCAATAATAATTTTGTTTCTGGATCTATATCACATTTCACACCTACACTCTCAAAATCTATCGGATCAAGTGGTCATAAAGACAAGACAAAACAAAACAAAAAACAGAGAGGCATACATAAAGGAATTATAAAACATTGTAAATATTTCCTTTTGAAATGAGAATCAATAAAACATTTCATGGGCACATGTTCTGACCTGAAACATTCAGTTCGCTTATTTATTAGGACAAAAATTTGAAGTTGAATTTGCACTTGTGAAGAATGAGGACGTTTTTTCCTTATGGAAAGTAACCATGGAAAACAAGACACAAATAATACTTGGAATCAATAGGAGATGGCTTATTCAAGCTTTAAAAAAATTAATTGCGAAGTTGTTTAGGGCCTCTCTAAAGAAGAGCACACCTATAAAGGATATGTAAAATTATAGTTAAAATACCTAGTAATAAGAGTAACAACAAAGCACAACAATTATTTGGATATTAAAAATACATGTATATATAAATCAGTGTATGTAAGTATGTACACAAGTGCCTATATTCACAAGTGTTCAAAAAAAGTATACATTTTTCAATTATTTTATAACTTGCATACCTTCTCTGTGGGAATGGAGACATGTATGCCCTTTAGTTTCTTCCTAAAGTATGTCTTTACTATAATAGTAATTACTATGTTCTTATGTACAGTTTACCGGTGTTAGTTTTTTCAGTAATACATAGTAAAATTATCTAAGGCTCTTCTTTATTATGTTGATTTAGATATAATATTATAAACGAACTGGCTAAAATTTTATTTTAACACTACCACTTATATTAGCTGAGTTTAAGGAATTGTCCTGTTTATAATACTGAAATGGTTTAATTTTTCAGAAATTTTTATATTGCATAGATACTACTGTGACATTGTCTCAAATAAGAATTCTGGCTTATATCGTTTTCACTGAATGTGTCCATGTACACTCATAATTTTCTTACTTGCCTAGTGAGAACCTATTCCTGGTTTGTTTTTTTTTGACAAAAAGACTTATTTTGGAAATGTCAAAATCAAAATTGTGTGTTATAATAAATGTGAATTTATAGCAATAATCTATTTTGTGCTTATGGAGATAAGTTTCTGTGGTTCTATATTGGAGGTGACTTGATAAATTTAAAATATAATCCTAAAGCAATCATTAAAATAAATAAAAAAGTTATAGCAAATAAGTCAACAAACAAAACAAAATAGAATCATTAAAAATGCAATTAATCCAAAAGAAGTCAGAAAAATAGAAATAAAGAAATCATGTAACAAGTAGAAAATAAATAGTAAGATGATATATGTAAACCCAATTACATCTGTACTCATTTCAAATATGATACTTTAGTAAAGCAGAAACAGTTGGATTTTTTAAAAAAGGAAGCTTAACTATATGCTGCATAGTAGAAATGCATTTTAAATATAAAGTACAATTAGGTTAGAAGTAAAAGAATGAAAAAAAAACCCACATACCAAAGTATCACTAATCAAAAGAAAGCTGTAGTACCTCTATCAATATTGGCAAAGTAGATTTCGGAGCAAACAATATTACCAGGGATAAAAAAGGTCATTTTTGAATGATAAAGGAATTATTTGATCAAGAGGACATTACAATTCTAATTGCTCATGCATCTTTTAACAGTGCTTCAAAATATATCAAGCAAGCACTGATATGATTGCAAGGAGAAATGGAGAAATTCTCAATTATAGTTGGAAATTTCCATGTTGCTCTCTCTGTAATTAATAGTAGAAGTAGATAGAAAATCAGTAAAGATATAGGAAACCTGAACAACACTATCACGTAATTTGGCCAAATTTGCACAAAAGTATTACATATATTTCAGACTAAGATAATAAAATAAAATGCATTAACATGCAAACTTCTAGTCTATTAAGAAAAAATGTAAATTATTCACATCTGATTAAATCATATGCATGTGTAAATAGAGACTAAGTATTGTACTACTACAATGGTTTAACCATGTTTTTCTTTATACCTCTTCCCAAAATAACCTATATAAGGATTTCACTATTATAGACATGCTTTTTAGTAAATATTACACATAGAAAATGAATGAAAATACTTATCTACTTTAAGATTAATTTCAAGAGTTCTATAATGTATGAAGTTTAAAAGTCTTCATCTTAGAGACCATCTTTATTCTCTATGCATCAGAAGGTAAAAGACAGGAGCTGAAATAATTACTTTCAATAAATGATGGCAAATATTTGTCTACAGCTCAAAAATAAATTTGAAGGCAGTTTTACAAAATAGCCAATATTAAATCAGTCTAAGATGTCATTGAATATAAAACATGTCATTATTTTATGTCCTTTTAGAAAATAAGTGCTCCCAATTAAATTGTGACATTGTAAGATACAACTTCTGAGATGGTAAAATGTAAAATGTGTGTGTACTCTGAGACATTAAATGAATGTATCAAGATGCTAACTGGATTTGCTCTAAGATGTTAAAAGGTAAACAAGTGCGGCTTTTATAATCTAAACCTAAAAACATGTCTCCTTTAAACTAACTTTTTGTAAACTGAATTCAGACTTTGTTGATTCACTTAAATAGCCATTGCAGGCTTAGAATTTCTAGAAAAATTTATAAGTTTTCCTGAATACTTGAGAAAAAAGACATTCCAAAACTCTCTATTGGTTAATAATACAATAACAGAAGGAACTAAAAGGGCTACATAAAATGGAAAAAAATCATTGTTAACTCAGAAATATTTAATGTGTATAAAAGTATGTTACATTCACCCAAATCCTTGAACAGAGACTTTGTTTCTGGTGATGTCTTCAGAAAGCTATAATTCTTTGCAAAAAGACTCTAAGAAATGAGTTAATTTCAATTCTATTAGTCCAGCTGAGGCCATATTTTAACATTTGACCCAACTTATTATTGATATTATTCCAGAGTACTTTTATTCTCCAGGGTCCCATAGAAATTCAGATCAGTAGATACTAGGAAAAGATGTTCAAAATGATAAGGGCTTCTAAAAAAATAGAAAATGTATCGCATGGTCATATATATATATATATATATATATATATATAATTGTAATATTAAAACAGTTTAGGCAGGTCAACAATTAAACAAATCAAATTAAAATACCAATAAAGAAATTAAGCAGAGAAACAGCCTATATTTTAGTTTAGATGAACTAGTCCAATAGTAAAAATTTGTGTATTTCTAAACTTTCTAATTGTCAAAATAATCAAGAAATTCAAATGTTTAAAAATTTTTTAGTTAACCTTTGAAATATTTTTCTCCAAAGAATGTTCTTTTCTGGTACCAGTAATGTATTTTAATAATAAAAATATTAGTATCATATGTTGAAACAAAAGTACTTGTATGTGTTTTATGATAAATATAAGCTGAATCTTAGATCTTAGATAATTGATAATACAAAAATTGTTATTAGTAAAGCAATTTGTTTTTCTACAGGTTGCATTATTACCTAACTGGACTATAAACTCTTTTACAGGGCTATTCTTTAAAGCTTTTTTATCTAACGTACATTTTTCAAAGAATGTAGCCATTGTTTTCATTACATATGTATAATCAGTTCATTCAGTCAAACTTGGATTCAATGTTATAAGCCACATGAATGACTTACCTTATCTTTTCTTTGTTTTTCATCCTGGTATACAGTCCAGTGTTCTCCATCATTGCTGTAAGCTAGTTTGTAGGAGCCTACAAATTGTACATGGCCAAAATCTTTAGCTCCTTGTGTAATGATGCCAGTCACTTTGGTAGGGACAAGAAGATCTACCTAAAAAAGGAAAAGACATAATTTAAATGCCACAATAGAGTCTATTATAAATTTTCACGTCTCTATAACTCAGGAGATTACTCTGGCTGGTGTGACTCAGTGGACTGAGTGCTGGCCTGAGAATCAAAGAGTGGCCGGTTCGATTGCCAGTGAAGGGCTCTGGTCCCTGGTAGGGGGCATGCAAGATGCAACCGCACATTGATGTTTCTCTCCCTTTCTTTCTCCTTCCCTTCCCCTCTCTAAAAAAATAAAAAAATAAAATCTTAAAAAGAAAGACTCAGAAGTTTAAGAAACATATATGCTGAAGGCAAAATTCCATTGATTATAACCTTAAGCTGATGACTGAGTTGATTATTGGTTTGTAATTTTGATTTTTGTAATTTTAAACTGGAGTAACAGTTAAAACTTGAACAACCATTTTGACCATTTTCAAGTAAAAAGATGGCCATTTTCAATATACCAATCTATTTTCTATTAAACTAATTCATCCAGCTGTGCAGTTTTGTATAAATGAGATAGTACAAAACTGGCAAGCTGACCTTTTTGAGACTGATCATTATTTCTCAGAAAATGTATTATAATCCAATTTGCTGACTTTACTGGTCAATTCATAACAATAAAAATAAAATTATTGCTATGTACACACCAGACACAAAAATGCTATTAAATGTTTTATCATTAAACATTAAATAAAAAGCCAATTCCACTTCCATGTATTTTAAGCAGTTCAGTAATATGTAATGAAGTAATAGTAATTATCATCCAATGAAAATCTTTTGGAAAACTACAATCCTGAAAACACTGAGAAGAAAGTTAAGTATTCTTCAAAAATGAAGGATGATTAAAATATGCACCCAAGACTTGTGGGATCTGTGCTCATGATACGCTTCTTTCCTGCAAAAATATGTACTTAAAGTACAAACATATGCTTAACACCCATGGTGACTTAGTAAGCATTAAATTTATCAAAATGTAGTTGAAATACAAACAATAGCAATGATTTTTGTCAAATAAGAATATATAATATTGAATAGTTTAGTATTCTCCTTCCTTGTTTTCTAATTCATACATCTTTTCTTATAGCTTATGAATGCTAATGTTTTTAAAAAAGGAAAAATTTGTTTCCATGTGGAAAATTCTTATAAGACCTTTACTTTTTCTTGATCTATGACTTCTTTTATCCTCTTATAATAGACATCTACTTCCTCCTACTTCCTATGACTAAATCCCCTGTTACATCCTTGATCTTATCATCTTTAACTATCATGATCCCATGTTTGACCTTGGTGGCTTTTAACCACTATGTCCCTATTGTTTCTATTTCAGGTTCTCCATCCTGTGAGATGTACTTAGTCACAAAAATACAGACAGTCATGGGTCATATACAGGTCATGAATGAGAAGTTAGTAGAATGCATTGAATAGAGAATATTTAGCGGTGCTCATCAAATAAATATATGCAAGAAGTTTCCACTGTTTCACAGCCTGGGAATATTTATTTAAAAAAAACATGCATTTTTGCTCATTTTTTGAAACATTCTTTAATTAAAGACATTAGGCTCAAATTGGACAATGAATTAAGATAAAAAACCACCTTTGATGTTTTATTAAAATATTTTAGAAAGTTTAAAAAATACTATAAAATACTGTGCTTCTGTTTTGGTATTTTCCTAACATATGTTATATCATCACAAACCCTTGTGTTTCCAACGGCAATGCAGGATGGCAAAATTATGATATCCTGGGAAGGAAACTGTTGTTACCACTGTACGAAGTACTTTCTTCTATATTCTTATTGAATTCCCTCAACAGCCTTGTATGATAGGGTATTCTCTTTACTTTAAGGATGGCGGAATAGAAGTCTAACATAACTTGATGTGTGATCCAAAGATAAACAAACAGTAAATAAAGGAAAGACCCCAAATTCAAAAGCATGTCTTTCTGATTCAAAGCTCTGCCATTCATATAGTTTCTCAGTCAATGTTTTTTCCATTCTCTGTCACTATTTCATGAATTTCTGAGGAATCACAAAGCTTTCTCACCACATTCATCAAATTTACAGCAACTGTAAGGCCCACACACACACAAAAATCCTGGCTTTACCATACTGGGAGAGCAGCCCTCTCTTTTAATGCAAGTTTCTACTCTGTTCTTCAGCTGTCTGGGCTTAAAAATGTGGATTGCTTTTGTTGTCCTAAATTCAAATCTAAAGCACAGAGGTCTCTAGGTACAGCCTCTGGTCTTCAAAGTGCTCTTCATGTTGCTAACACAATAAATGTAAAAAACAAAACAAAACAAACAAATAAGCAAAACTCTTACAGTACCCCGAGTCACTGTTTTCCATGAAGGCTGTAAACACACAGGAACTCAAACTGTCTCCAAAAATGTAAACCCCTCCAGGGCTAGATTCTTCACTGTCTAAACTTCCCTCAGTCCTTAGCTAAGATGATGCAGTGAAGAGTCTTACAGCATCTCTTTTTCTGTGGCATTTCTTAAAGTTAGCTCGGTTTCCTGCTGGGCGGAGATGTTTTCTCCTTAAGTTGTATGTCTTGGCTCTTTCTAACAGGTATGTTTTTCTCCTGCTCTAACTGTTCCCCTTCTCCAGTTTTCTTTTCTTTTTCTTTTTTAATCTAGAAATGTTTTTCTTTTTTTTCTTCTGTTAAGTCAACTTCTTGACTTAAATAGTCAGCAATCTGTTTTAAGCTGGAATTTGTCCTAAAATTTGTGACATTACACTCAGAATAAGTGGCTTAAGCAAACCTTTTTTTCAGTACAAAAATAATCAGCATCCCACACTTAACATGAGGAAGCCGCAACAGGGCGTGTACAGATCGCATTCTGAGACACACTCATGGATGTGCCACCCTCAGGTTCGGTATGCAGGGTGATCCTAGGAAAGCCTAGTTCTCTGGACCTATGGTTACCTCTAGCCCAGGACCACTCTGCAGCCTTGTAGATCTTTTCAGTTCAGGATGTATTGCAAACATGTGGGTCAAAAATGACAAAGTGCTTTCTGCTGTTTTAGATCCTCACCTCCCAAGGTTTGGCTCAGGTGGAGCAGGTTATTTAGGGCACTGAGCTGGCACACGTGTAGGCTTTTGGCTTGGTGCGCTGCACTTCATATCCAGATCTTACTAAATATGCCATTGCACATGTAACACTCCCTCAATAAAGATTTTGCTTGATTGAGACGGAACTACTTTCTAAGCATGTCCTATGGACAAGAATCAACCTATGACTAAAGATGTCACAATGCATCATAGCAGAAAATGCTAACTGCCTTTCTTGTGTTTCACTACTCAGGATAACATTACTGGTCAAGGAAACAAAACTGTCATGGTGGTGACAACCACTTTTTACTGGGAGGGCAACTGGTTAACGTATTCTCTGATATTCAGGAATGCGATTGTGAGAGGCAGCATATTCTCGTGGAGCTGGATGGTCTAGGTTCCCTCTCTGGCTCTTCCCTGACGAGCTGTCTGCCCTTGAGCAAGTTATTGCACCTCTCTACATCTCAATTGCTTCATATGAAAAATGAGGATAATAGTTCTCATAGGATTTATGAGGATTAGAGGGGTGAAATTTATTAAGTGTGTAAAATAATATATAGAATATAGTCAGGGCTATATAAGACTTTGGTAACCGACAATAAATAAATCTGGGGAAATAATCTAATATTGGCCTGAAAGCACCTTATTAGAAGCATAATTATAGAAATAGGAAAACCGAGTGGGCAGATTGTCCTAGAAGCAACTAACTCCCGGATAGTAGTATATTTTGCTTACCTTCTCAGAATATATATACAAAGACAGTCATTTCATTTTCACTTAAAGTAGAGAAAATTAGAAACAACTGAAACTGTCATCCATGGGCAAAATGCTTAACTAAAAATAATATAATTAATTGTGTGGAATGTCGTGTATCTCCATTTGAATATTAAGATTACATTACAGTAGGGAAATGGTTCTAAATTAACATTAGAAGAGAAAATTAGATTCCAAATTATAGTGATTTTTTCTTTTAATTACAAGAGTAAAAAAAAGCAGGATACATATATAGAGAGGTACATATGATATATAAGAAAAACATATTGAAGGAGGATTATGTAGAAATATAATTTTTTTGATCTAAAATATCCTGTGATGTCTTAGCAAAGCATAAACATTTTTAGAGTGTTTAACTTAGAGAAAAAGTGTAGAATAACTAATGCCATTTGTTTGAGGAAGGTTAAGATAAGCTACATTTCGGATATCTGCATAACACCCTGACAGATGGCTCCCTGAAAGGAGAGAGGGAGGACTTAGCAAAGTCATGAGTTTCAAGAAAATGTTTCTAAAGGAGTGAGGAAAATGAAAAGTGATACAGATAAATTAAGTGTGCAAGGAAGTGAACAAAAAGACCAAAGAGATTTATCACAGGAGTATGCCACTCAGCTGCATCTAAAATGCTATAGTTTTTGCTTTTATGTTGTATCAGTTAGTTTGGATTATATATTTTATAAGTTCATGGAGATTTGTAAAATTAACTCATTAAACAGGAATAACTTTGAAGCTAAGATAAAAATATAGTACTTAAAATAAAATTATGGGTAAAATATTCAGAAAATATGTGTTTTGATAAAGAATTTTCACCTCAATATTACATAAAACAATATAATCTTAGCTACTTTAAGGCACATAATTATTGTACTTGACATTTGAACAATATTGTTCATTATCAGGTGTTGGGTATACTTTTAGTACTTATTTGCAGACCTATTAGTTAATGTCATCGACCTATTTTGAAATATTTACCAGCCCCTGTATTCGATATGTTTTTGTTGTTCTAAGGCTATGGGTTCAGACCTTAAAATATTATGGAGGCCTGATAAATATGCTCATTCCAGTGCTCATCACTGTATTCCTCCCTTTCTAAAGAAGTTTTAATTTACAATAATATTTAAAACATTTAATATAGCAATTGCATTTTCCCTATCAGCTTTTAAAGCTATGACCACTGATA